AATCACATCTTCAAGCTTACCAATGACTAGATTCAGACTGAAAATGAAAGACACAAGTTGTTCTCTGAATTACCAATATGCCATTTTAATATTTCCATACGTGCACACACGCAAACTAAAATAAGAAAACGTATGACTCATGCTCGTCTGTCTTTTCCTTCGAGTTGGTTCTCTTTTCTTCATGAACACCGGACGTAGTTGACACACATAAAGCAGCCTCCACAGAGAACACTTCTGTTTCTGACAGCCTTTCTAAGAAGGTCATGAAGACACTTTGTTCTTTCCTGCTCATTTTGCCTGTCACCTATCAACTATGCAAGTATCACTGACAGTAAAGGTCTTTTACACCAAATTACACTGAATACATACTAAAAAAAAAAAAAAAAGTCAATAGACATGGCTCTTTCACACTGAGCCTATTGCAAATTTTCTTCAGAAAAATTTTGAATCAAAAAGAGAAGCCCCTAAGCAAACCTCCTCCTGCACTCTGTGACTTGGTCCAGGTTCTCCAGACTGCAGCCATTATATATTTCTTTTTATTTTCACGCTGCCTGTCTGCTGTTAGCACCATGTAGCGCTTTCACTCTTCATATATCACAGAGATTTTAATTCTCTATACTCTTTAAATTCCTCCGCTTCCAAACAGATCAGGCCCACATTGTAGGCAAAAGCTATAATTCAACAGAAGAGTAGACTGATTGAGGACTCTGTGTCCATAATGCCGAACCCTACTATTGAGGCTACTTTACATCACAGTCACTCTAACCTAAACTTCTGATTTGACTTTTTAGATGAAACTACAGGTGTCTGTATTTTTGAGCTGTAGCACAAGTAGAGAAGAGTTTTAAATTTAGCAACTCAGTAATCTGAGTGTCTGAAGTTTGCTTTTATCCATCAAAACATCCTGTTCTCAACAGACTGAGGCTGAGACTGTAGCGGCAAAAACTTCTTAGTCTGTTGACGCAAGCAAGAACGCGAGCTTTCTCTTTTCAACAGTTAATATTCTCTCTTCAACTAATTGTTTTTTGTGTTAATTTAAAGGAGGTAGAGACTGAGTAGTTACTAGTTGTCGACAAGCTTCTGGACTCCATCAGTCTCACACTTCTCAGCATTTTCACAGTATTTCTTGGCTGTGTTACAAGAAGATGACACCCTATGTAATAATCTCTCCTGCACAGCTCCAATGGTCACTTTTTTACCAGCAACTGTGAATGAGCTGCAACAAACCTATTATAAACACAGAAAATGTAAAAGTAGGCAACGTTTCAGATGTCAGAGACCAGGTTGTTATTATTGCCCATTTGTTGTATTTTCTGTTTCCTTTCCTTTTATTTGTCACACAAATTCTTATACCCAGGCAACAAAGTTTCCTGCAGACAAGATGTTATGCCTGTGTGGTTTGTCAAAAGCAGCCACAGTTCATAACCACGAAGCAACTGTTTTTCAGTGGTAGACTTCAATGCAAACTGTTGCAGTATCACAGTTTCATTTACAGTTAAACATTCATGCAAAACTTTATTGTAAAACTTCACATCTGGTAATCTCCGCGTACACCTTCGCCTCAACTGAAATGTTTCTCACAGGATGTGTTTGTCAGCCATTCGAGTTTCCAGTCAGTCAGCCTTTTTTTTTTTTTTTCAATTTCGCCTCTTATCTGTCTTCCTGCTATCTATCCTGTGCATCTGTGCAGTAATTTCATTTCCTCTCTTGTGTTGTATATTAATTTATGTACTCCCCCACTGCACTCGTGTCAGAGCTGCCTTATCTGAGTAGCCCTGCAAGTCGAAGCTACAAAACTCCAGAGCTTGCTTGCAACTCCTCACATCAGTGTTATCTACTTGTCTGTTTATTTTGTTATTCATTTTTTATTTTTTTTGTTAAAACATTTCGATTAAAGTTTTTATCAGAGAGCAAGAAAGCAGAATCACAGATGGAGTGCAGGTGAGAATGGAGACTGACGTTTTGTTTTGAAGCCAAAAGAGATGTATTTGTATGTGGTATAGAAGGCGACGTTCTGAGCCATCAAATCATATCACAGCTTTACTCAGCTATTGTTGCCTCAATTATATGACACTGAGAGTTAATACTAACAAAGACAGTCAGAAATTTGATATCTATCATTTACTAATATATTCAGTTTCTATAATTGTGTTCTGTTGCCCTGAAAATATGGCTAAGACCTAGTGTCTGCTGTTTTGGTTTTGATAGAAGAAATGGTTATTTGCTCTAAAATCACCTTAAAACAGGGACTCTTTCAGGATGTGAACAACAGAGTCTTCTGTTGTCGCTTGCATTTCCCAAAGTGACATTCATCTGTCTTGTAATCTGCCCTCCCACTTCTCTTTCTTGGCATTTCCATCCAGTTGGTTTATATTCATGTTTGTGCCTCCATCTGTATCATTGTCTGCCCTGCTCTCGCTCCTGCTCTGAGCTACTAGAAGCCTCTACAGATAGCACTTTAGCTCACCCTTGATGTAAATCCACAAAAAAGAAAACTATCCTCCCTCTGCACCTTAGTTAAGGTTTATATGGTGAGCATGTACAATGTGATGCAAAGTTGAAAGCTAAGTGGAAAAGTTGAGAAGTTCTTTCTGTCATTCATTTTTATCAGCCTTTTCAAGATGTAGGAATTAGAGCAGCTAGTATTGTGAAGTATTAGGCTGAACAGGAAACGACAAACTAATTTAAACTGTGATGTTTTAAACCTGTGCTCAGTTAACTAGTTTATAATGCCTCCTCTTTCTGTCAGTCGATGTGACAATGCAGAAACTTGGCAGAGATTATTTAATGAACCTTAACTCTAAAGCCACATCTGCCAATCATAAGCTTGTTAAAAAATATTATCTCTTTTGCAGGCTATCACAGACGAGTTGTCATGAAAAGGGGAAATCATGTGTGTGGACTGATTCCGACACCTCTGTTCTTCGAAATAGAGTATTCTATTATTATATATGTGAAGATAAAAAGCCCTGTGAGGTAAATTAGCACCAGCACTATTTTGGCCACTTCCGCCACTACACAAAATCGCCTCATGCAAACAAGACAATGGTGAACACTCTCACAAGCAAAGACACCCCTGACCTTATGTCAACACTGCAAACAGTGTTTCTGAAAATGTTAACCTTGGAAAGAGTTTCAGTGAGCTGAAACTGTGTTGGCATGTGGGCAAAGGGCAAAAACACATAGGAGCTATATTTAAAAAAAAAAAAAAAAAAAAGCCTTAATCCGCAACAACACCGAATAGAAAAGAGCAGAAAATCTTCATATTTGAGATTCTGGATCAAAACAGTACTTGAGGTTTTTGGTTGACAGATTTGTCCAACTATTTAAAAAATCATTAATAAAGTTACAATTTTGACTTATTTTATATAATGAACATTTATGTCACTCTAAAAAGTTTTGCAAACTGCTTAAAGATAGAGCCTCAAAACACAGAATTGTAATCTGTGAGTAAATCATTTTCACTAGAATTGTGAACTTAGTATGTGTAAAAGTTGCACAGAGGCTTTAATGGTTTGTTGGGATTTGGAAAGCATAAAACATTACAGGCCTGTGTGTCAGGCCTGTAATAGGGCGTACCATGCCTCCTTCACAATGCATGCTGGGAGAGGCTGCTGCTTTTTGGAAGCCTTAAGAGGATAAGCAGTTTTCCAAATGAATGTATTTATTTAGCTCATTTATTCCCTGTCATCTTTATTTTGTTTCTATTTGCTACCAATATTTTTTTTCATTTTCCTCTCATTGTTTAAATCTTCAATAAAGTACATTCAGGCTTCATAATGGGATTATCAGCAGTCATTTTGTCAGAAAAGATTTTGCATTTCATCATGACAGATGTCTCATTTCATTTCAAAACAGAAAAGAGAAATTACAACACTCAGGCAGGGTTTGACTAAAGTGTAGATGCTCTTTGTTGAAAACATCCAGGTGTAGAAGCTGGATTTTTGCTTTAATATGTTCTAGACTGAAGCGCCGGGAGGTTGGATTAAAAATGTCATGAGCCAGATTTAAATCCACAACTTTACAATCACAAATAATAACACAGGCTTTGGCTGACTTTGGAAACAAGGCTTCTGCTCTGAATCCTTCAGTTTTCTGATTATATCTGATCCTCTTACTGTGTCAAAGTAATCCCATTCTTTATATCTGCACTTTGCAGCCTGTTTCTGTGTTGCCTCTCCCTATCTGCACTTATTCTCAGTCGTCTTTATCTTTGTTCAACGGCATGGCACTGCCACACTCACACCAATTAGCTCTGATGGAGAAAACTGCTGCTGCTGACAGCAGCCGGTTTGCAACATTGGTTTCCATGGAAAATTCTCTATTCTCTACACCCTGTAATCACACCCAGTTTAACAAGGAAAATACTTTCTGTCCCTCTCTGTCTTTGTTTCTGCATCTCAGTGAATGGGTGTGAGTTATGGGTGCATTTCCAGTTTTGTCTCAGATCCAGGGAGCAGCCCACACAGCGGCTGCGATGTCACAATGACTGTGTCCAAATTGGCTTAATGCGTTCTCGGTTTTGCACTCTACAATATGCTGTTAAAAGACTTTTGAAGAGATACAGCTCGAGTTCTTTATGGACTTCTTGTTCGTCTGTGCTGTTGGTGACAAATGAGTCTTTTTCTCATCCCTTTCTTGCACTGATTAGGGTGCTGAAGCGTACAGTGTCAGTGCAGCACAGCTGAGTACTCACAGTATGAATTATACTTAGAGCTCCTTTTCAGCTGCATAACATTTCTTCAAACAAGAGGAAGCCATACCAGTTTGTCACATTAGCTGATGACTGAGTGGGAAAACAGCAGCGACAGACACAGGCCCTGCAAAGTGTTAACTTTTGTCTTTCTACTTCTTCTCATTTTTTACCTCCATACTTATTTATTTTCGTCTTTCTTTCAGTTCTCTCTCCATCCTCTGTTTCTTTTTCAAGGTTTTAAGCACTATGCTTTCAAGTTAAACCAAATCCAATCTTGTCCCCCTCCCTCTCTGTCTTCACACAGTGTTGTATAGACAACTATGAGGAGATGGTGAAGATCCTGCTAGACCGAGGAGCCAGTGTTAATGCTCAGGATAATGAACTATGGACACCGCTGCATGCTGCTGCTACCTGCGGCCACGCGGGACTTGTCAAAATTCTCATTGCACAGTAAGTCATGCAGGATTCACTCTACCTGGGTTTCTTGCAGTGTGGCTCTTATCTTGCCCCAGATAAAGACCACCTCCATGAATGTCTGAGTGTGTTGTTATGAAGTATAATATGAGTCTCATTCAAGCTTCAGGGAAAATGAGTACTGGCACTTAGTCTCACTGTGAAGACCATGTATGGTGTGAAAAATAGTAAACGCCCCGATAAGATGAGATGCAACAGGTTTGATTCAACTCAACAGGTCATCACTCAATTGCTTCACTGTAGTCAATCAGAGCAGCAGATCGTAGTATTAAGAAAAAAATACACACTTTCTGTGTTTTAACAAGTTGCAAAAAAGTACAAAGAAACAACTTGGTCAGTCAGTTGCGATTTGGTACTGACTCGCCAGGCTGAAGTTATTCAACAGATTCTGTATGAGGTTGAAGTTTAACGTTCATATTGACCAGCTGGACTTGAATAATCAATAACTGTCAGCAGAGGAAGGGGTGGGCAAGGCTGATCACCTCCACCATTACATTTCCTGATGATAACATGTGCTCACACCATAGTCTGAAATTAGCAGGCATAGTATTATCTTGCTGACAAATGTGCAGGTATAATTGCATCCACTGTCCCCAGTGGGCCACGGACGGTAATTTGTAGGGAGCTTGAATTATTTTTTAATTGAGTTCTGAGCAAGAGAAATGAGGTTCACTGTTCCAAAAACAACAGAGGATGCAACCTGGAGCAGCAAAAATTGATAATAATGCGCCTCACGACAGAGGAAATGGCAAGCCCATGCTATTAAAATAAGAGAAAGCATTGTAATAACTTAAAACAAATACATAAACAAGGACTGGAAAATGGTTTAAAGCTGTGGTGAAAATGGCCCTGTCCTCCTCTTATTCCAGCTGTGTAAAAGAAGAACAAGTACGCAAGAGATGGGCAGCATCAAAACAATATTAGGGATATTTTCCAGCATCAGTATGGTAAATGCAACTGTATGCAAAAACACATTAATCACACTATGCATTTTCAGTTTGCAAAGTGGTGAAACAACAACATGATGTCATCTCATCATCTTAATGTGATCCCGGTGAAAGTCAACAAAGGATATTATCAAATTCTGTCCAGCCCGAGGACATATAATGATGTACAAATGGCACTGATTGAGCCATTTTCCATCTTTGTTATGCAAATGTTGTTAATAATTCAATAACACTGACCCAGGTTTTCTCAAGGCAAAAAAAAATGTCCTCATTACATGGAACACCTGCAAATATGTTAAATAAGTAAAGACGATTTATGAGTACAGCCAGGGTGAACATGTTTAATTAGGATTTAATTACATCCTAATGAAGACACAATAGCAAAACACTAGTACATATGCCAAGAGGCAATGGAGACAAGTGAACGTACTGTATGTGTACAAACTCATATCGCTTCTACTTGTGAACATGGAGGGCTGAATTACAGCTTGTATGCAGGGACTAGAAACACAGAAACACACACTATACAGACACACTGCTGCCATCTGTTGACATGCAGCGCTTGTCAAATCACTCATATTGTCACTTGGACTCATTGTCCACAGTGAAATTACTGATTAAAACCAGCTGAATAATGCAGGCCAACTTGCTCTGGACTGAAAGAATTTAATTAGCATCATCAATTAGTGCTCAAACCGAGATTTATTTAGTCATGTCTGTCCAAGACTTTGAATTATAGATCAGCAGTTTTCAGAATTTTTGCGTCTCACAGTGGATCAGAACATGAAACACGGGCCTGTTTTAATATAATGATTAAAGTTATTTCAGTTATTTTTACCCTTCTGAGTCCGGCACAGATGGTGCCATTAAGTATAATATATTAAACGCTTTCCCTTCTGTTGTCCTCACGTCAACCATGGAGACGGTACATTTAGAACATTTATTAACCTCTGAAGATTAATATTACAGATTTTTTAAAATATTCATCTGCTCATCTCCCACAGTGGTGCAGATCTGCTGGCAGTCAACTCTGATGGGAACATGCCCTACGACCTGTGTGAAGACGATCCAACACTGGACATCATCGAGACAGCCATGGCCAACAGAGGTAGAGTATGAATAATTAAAGAGATGGCAAAGCAGTGGGGTCTGTGGACAGAATTGTTAGACTGCAGTTCTCAGCTGATAGGAATATTTTTTTCTGCACCCTTGAATAAATTTGGGAACTTATCACTCTGCAGACAGATTGAAAAAGGGCGATAACGTCACTTCTCCATGCACATTGCACAGAGTGGGCTGTCTTCTTTCATCAGTGTTATGCCAGTTAGATCAGACTTTTACTGCTATCAATTTATCAGTACAGGCTTTTTAACAATCATAGTTCCTGTACAGCATTTTATGAGTCATGCTGAAGAAGACAGATCGAGGACAACTAACAACTGCCTGTGAAGCTGATCACTGTTTGATCAGACCAACTTCCCCTTACTGCTGTTGCTACATCTGTTTGGCATTCAACACATATGCAGTTTACAGGGGAATAATTTAAATTCTTTCTTAGTTTTGGGACAATTGATCCTTGATTTCAGACAGAAGTAGACAGAAGCAGTTTTTGTTTTTAGATAACTATACATTTTCCTGGCTAAAATGACAACTTAGACTGTCAGGTCCCATAGACTGATTGAAATCACAGTATGCAGCTGACTTTTTAGAACGTTTTTGGGGACTTGTTTTAAAACCTGAACCCTATTAAATGGGCCACTGATGCTAGCATACATGATGTAATGCTGAAAGGGTGAAGCTGCAGGATTTAAGCTAAAATTCATCGTCTGCAGCAGGTGATCCTTCTCATAGAGGACATGTAGATAAAGAATGACATGGTTATTGTTTGCTGTGTAGATCAGTATACAATAATTAGTCCTAGCATAATAAGTATAAGTAGAGCTATAAAACTGCTTTTATTAGCTTAAAGCCAAGTCATTTATTTACACAGCAAATTTTAATACATCACAAATTTAGTCAAATCAAAATAAGTCAAATTTAAAACTAAAGACAATTTAAAACCCTAAATTAATATAAACTATTACAACAAACTGTGCAGGTTACCTTAGAGCAGATAAACATGTAATTTACTTGGCTCCTTCCACTTTTGCTCTTATGTTTTGGCTTTTGGAAAGTCTATCAAAAGTTTCCACTTTTCAAACACTTCAGACACTTTTGCTACTACTCTGTAAACCATAACATAAATGTACAGTTGTTGGAGAGATGGATCTAGCGGACATTCAGCTTCATGCACTTTAGATAAGGAAGATGTAAAGCTTCCTTAACTGCTGCAGGGTGAAGCTTATTGACAGTCTTAAAAGGCTGCCTGCCACATGGAACAGATTGCTGAAGATGGCAGCAGAGTTGTGACCTCAGAAAGCACTTTGTGTCCCGCTCAGTTTAAGGATTGACACTCCGGATAGCTCTGAGAAGTTCACAGTTCTCCTGATGGGAAGCAGATCAGGATATTGTATATTCATGCTGTGTACTGGCAAACAGCTGCAGTCAGTACAGGCAGTCTGTTTGACATGAGTGAGGAAGAGTTCAAGGAGATCAGCGCCAACGCACACATATATACATAAATGCACATCAATGATGAAGGACGGGAGACTTGCATTGGGCTTTAGATGTGTTTTGCATTTCTGTCTGTGTTTGTGCAATACAAAGAAAGTCTCGAACAAAGGGAGTCGGGGTAATAGACAACTTTATTTACCCTGGAGTGAAATCAACCTCCTTAGCACGAGCTCTTGTCAATGTTTTGCTTTTGTTTTCTAGTTAACAGTTACATCTACAGGCTGGCATGCGTGCACACAGCTGGCAACAAAGCAACAAAGTCTGGCTGCGGGGGCTTTTCAGTTTAGACGAATGCTGTAGTGTGACTTGGCTGCTAAAATGTGGTTGGTTTGTTGGAATGCTTTCAACATTTTGGGAAATATGCTTATTTGCTTTTTTGGCATATAGTTTGATGAGATTGATACCAATCTGAGAACATGCAAGGAAACACAACAAGGAGCATTTGCCAGGTGAATGAAGACTTCAGGAAGTTACTGCTACCAGCCAAGAAATGTTCTGGCACCATGTAAAATGCTGAATTGTCCTTGTTTTAGTTAAGTTTTTGTGCAAAAAAAAAAGAAGAAAAAAAAAAAGAAACATAGAATGCTAATTAGTGAACTTTAGAGGTGCTGCGAGGCTATTGTACTTTTGAGCACTTTGCAGACTTTGTGCTAAGCTAACCAATTAACAGGCTGTATAGACATGAGCATGTCGAGCCAAACTGTTGTCTCAAGAAGCAAAGAGATGTAAAGATGTAAACACTGGCCAGGCTTAGGTTGCACTGAAACACAACAGGGAACATGAAATCACAATAGCCGACACTCAGTTGTTGTTTATTGACCTTATGTTGGTTTTGAAGTTTCCACCCGCTCTCAATGTACCTCGGCTTTGCAATTTCTCCGTGAACTGTGTGCATATCACCAAAGTTAATGGAAGTGTTAGCCACATCTATTAAGGAATGGCAGAAGAAAAATGTCTACATATCTAAACAGTTTTAACCTCTGACTTTATGACATCCTAAAAACACAAAAAAATGGACTTAAAGCACATGGGACCTTTCATGCTTCTCTGCTCTCTCCACTTCTGCTGTAGAGATACAACAGATGCTAACTGTTTAAATACAACTATATCTGGTCAAACAGCATAAATCTCCTAAAGCTTTTAAAACAAGCATTTGTGTTATCACACAAATCACTTCACATGCTTCTTTCTGAGTCTCATTTACAAATATTAGCTTCAGATCAGCTAGCCTCACTAACTGCAAGGGGACAGTGTGCTGTGTGAAAAGCAAACTTTTATTCATGTGCTCACAGGTTCAATTACATGTGTGAGGATGTTGGCCGCTTTTGATTTAGTGTATGTGCATGCTTAAGAAGTAGAGGCAAACAAGACAAGGCAGTAACATTTTCCTTACTTAAGGTGAACTTGAGCACAACACTAAATTCCAAATGCATCGGTGGAGCTGCTTGGTGGTAAACAGAGGAAGCTGCATTGAAGCAAGGTGGTGCAAGAGAGCATTTGAGTGCTCAGTCATATTTCTCTGGATAATTAAAGGCCAAAAAAGCCCTGTTATTTTAAGTGCTATATCGTAAACAAGTGCAGGTTAATCGTGTTGAACAGCACAAACAGGCACATGACACCACATTGTGTGGGTTGCATGCTGGATGTAAGGCAATGTTGGAATCACATACAGAGAGAGAGGGTGAGGGCTCAGAGAGGGAAAACAGACACTAGAAAATGAGGTTCCCTCCTTACAATAGGGTCTCTCGTGCTGCAGAATGCAGATAGCAGTACAGTAGGTGAGAAGAATGATTATTAAGCTGATCAAAGGGAGCGCAGCACTGCTAATTGCTCCCGTAATGTTCTCAGCACTGTACTGGTGGATAAGACTTCTCTCTCCAGAGAAGCTGCAGGGTTGGGCACACAGGCAGTTTCTCCCTGTAACACACACACACAGCACTTGATATGCAGCATTGACTGAGCTGACTCTTCCTTGATCCTCCCCTGTAGAGCCCAGTTCATCTGTGATGAGCCGCAGTGATAAGGAGATCGGTCTAGCTGAAACTGAAGGGGTGAAACAAAGCGGGGCGTGCAGACTAGTCAAACCACTGGCTGCACAACTGACACTGATAATGCAGCTTTTTTTTGCCCATTCAAATTCAAAACTGCATTGATGGAGGGAAGATAAATTCCAGTTAACCCTTTAACACCCTTGTGCCTGAAAATAGGCTATGTAAAAATTGCTACTGTATTTTGAACTATGAATTGTCATTTGTAAGCACAAGGCTTCACGATTCAAACAGTGTAATCCATTTTTAAGACGCAGCAACAGCAGCAGCAATAGCAGCAGCAATAGCAGCAGCAATAGTTCTTTATTTTGTAATAAGAGTCCAAGCACAGCAAAATGGTACTTTCTTACATTTTCTGTCATCTAAAGGAGCACATACCTGAAGGGGCTAAGGTTGTAGACTGCTGATTAACATCGACGTTGTGTTGGTTAGTTCTTTAAAGAGATTTTTGTGGGTTCCATTTAATGCTGGAATAAACAACTGACAGAAAATAATTGCACAATCATTGTTAATTGCTTGAGTAATTTGTTAAGCATATTAAACATTTACTTGTTCCAGCAGTTCAAATGTGAGGATTTTCTGGTTGTTTTTGTTTTTTTTCTATCACTGTAAGTTCAACATATTTATGTACATTTTGAACTGTTGGTTAAGTAGCACATTAGCTGGCATCACTCTGGACTCTGGGAAGCAACATTATCTAATTTATCTGTCTGCAGACCTTGTGTGAGCAATCTGTTTAAAATGAGTTTAAACGTCCTCAGTGAAGCACAAAAAAACAATAACAGAGCTGTACACGACATTGTGTCCACAGACTAGTGCCTTTTATCGGCTTTATATCACTGAAGTTTTTAACTGTTGGCAAGGCAAAACCAAACTTTTGTGAATATGATAGACATTTTATAGACTAATCCACTTAAACATAATTAGCACATCAATCAGTAATGAAAATAATAACTAGCTACAGCCCTTGTCTGATTTACTGCTCTTAGCTGTTGTGTCTTGGCTTTTCCTGGAGCTACAGTCTTTGGTAAAAACAGAAGTGTGAGTGTCAAATAGCAATGATCAGCTAGAACAGCTGCCATTCAACTCCCCAATGACAACCTTCTTTTAAAATCTTAAAAATTAATACATATTTCAAGAGAGAAGTCCAAATAGGAACACATGAGCGGTACAATGCAGCAACTGCAGAAACAGCTATAAATTTGCCATAGCAGACACAGGATGGACACACCTGGTTAAGAATTATATACTAGTTTTCTTCCATAAACTCCACAGACTGTCTCAGGATCAGTGAGATATTTCAGTTTGTGAAAGGCTCCTTTCTGGTTGTTCATGTGGCTGTATATTGATCCTTTCTCTGTTTACAGTGTATGTTGTAGTTTGGCAATGAAGAATGCTTGTTAGATTTTACATTTTGCAAAAACCAATGAGTATTTTCAAGCTGTGGGGCATCACTGCAGCGAAATCAAAATATGGTCAAAGGCAATGTGAAGGTAAGTAAAATTTGTGATAGACATCAGAGCCACTGTTGCCTTTGTGACAGAAACGGCACAAAAGAAAATAGTTGCTGGAGGGATGCTTTACTTTACATCTACAAAAGGTTATGGCCCTGATTCCTGAACCTTCAAACACCCTCTGATTCCAAATGCTTGTGAAATTTTACAGTGTCTTCATCACAAGCACCTGCTAAAAACAAGAGTGTGACACTGAAACAGGATTTTGATTTAAAAATTGCCACCTGGAAGCAGGAGCAGTCGATAAATTTGCCTTCAGCTTTACTCACCATCATTCTTTACTCTGTGTCAATTGAAAGGTCAGCAATAAAATATGCACTGGAAGGTGATACCTGTCTGCTCCCACTATTTATTTCATGGAAATCTGGTCAGTTTTTGTGTCGCTTGTGTATTTAAATGACGAACTCCTCTGAATATTCAGACTTTAAGCTTTTATTTCTTGCTGTTTTCACATTAAGGATGGTCAACCTTTAAACCCTTTATGCACCTGATTCAGTTATAAGTTAAACCACATATTCAGTCAGTTACATACTGCAAAAATAGAAGAGCCACACTTCTGACTGACAAGCAATTGTTAATCTGACATTTCTTTCAATTTGCTGGACGGCACAGTACATTACAGCTGTGGGAGGATAAATTCTTCGCTGAAGTGTGGTGGTCACGGTATTCACTCCTACCTGGCAGCAGGACGACGGATTAAAGGAGGAATTTAGAGTGGTGGTGACATACAGACTCACCTGAGCTTGAACTGGGCCTAACTCCACAAACCTCTTTGCCAAAAGATGATAGGGAAGAACGCCTGAAAGTTAACTACCTTGCCGCCAAAATAGAATGGTCATTTTATTTCTTTCAGATATTCATATCTGAGCTCTGTAGCTCTGTATTGATCTTACAATTCCTCTGCCCATTTTGCAGGAAGTAATTGCCAGGAAAGTTAAATAATGAAAATAATTATCTGAAGCTGAATTCACTTCCTACGATCATTAAGATTGTTCATATTTTATTGAGAATAGTATCACATATGTATGAGTTTGGGCCTTGTGCCCATGCGACACAACAAAAAGCAGAGTCTGCTGCTGGCACTTGAATATTTTTCCACTCTCCTTGAAACCTCATTTTTTTCTATTTGTGCTCAGTAGCTTTTGTTGTAGAATTCACGAACCGTTGCTGATAGAAAACATCCAGCGTAATTTAAAAAAGGTGTTGCTGACAATCCAGGAAAGGAAGCTTTCTCCTATGAAGTTCACTTTTTGAATTTATTTCCAAGCATTGTGTTATGTTCCAGCCTCATCATACACATCATGTTGTGTCTCAGCTTCTTCACCCCCCAAGGTGCTTCTCCGTGTGCCTCTGATCATAAACTAGCCATGTCAGCATGCTGCAGCTTTATATTAGCGCTGTCAGGGATTCAAAAAAAAAAAAACCTACCTCCCTCATTATTAACTCTGGTTCTGCGTGCATGTTTGATTGACAGGCATCACCCAGGAGATGATCAACGAGACACGAGCATCAACGGAGAGGAGGATGCTGGGAGACATTCAGGAACTGACGAGACAAGGAGAGGAGGTCAACCAGCCTGACTCTCAGGGAGCCACACTGGTAGGAGGCACATTACCTTCTTCATTGTCCATCCATCCATCCATTTTCTATATTAATCCTCACTAGGGTCGCGGGGGGGCTGGAGCCTATCCCAGCTGACTTAGGGCGAAGGCAGGGGACACCCTGGACAGGTCGCCAGTCCATCGCAGGGCCATACTTAGAGACAGACAACCAAGCACACTCACATTCACACCTACGGACAATTTAGAATCATCAATTAACCTCAACATGTTTTTGGACTGTGTGGGAGGAAGCCGGAGAACCTGGAGAGAACCCACGCTGCACGGGGAGAACATGCAAACTCCACGCAGAAAGATTCCGGTGCCCCCACCGGGACGCGAACCGGCAACCTTCTTGCTGCGAGGCAACAGTGCTACCAACTGCGCCACCTTGCAGCCCCCTTCTTCTTCATTGTTTCAGCTATATTTAATTAGATGACATGAAATTCAATTCCTACAGGATTTGTGTTGTCGTGATACAAAATTAAGACTTTGATGTGATACCTGGCTAAATACATTAAAAAAAAACAATACTATAGGAAATATCAGAAAATTAATGATATAGCAGATGACAGAACAGAGTCATTCCATCTCAAAGCGACAATTTCTGCTCAACTATCTCTGAATTTTTTGGTATCATAAAATATGGACATTTATAAAGATTTTTTTAACTTAATATTTTAAATACTTGATGTAGCGTAAGATTTTTTTAAAAGTACTGAAAGGGGTTGACGGGCAATTAAAAAAAATAAAAATCTCAAAAAAATCTGTGATGTTACAATCTGAAATGTCAAACATACTAGTTTATGATTTAAAAAAAACAAAAACAAAAAAAAGACATATTCATTTCTGTTCCAATAAGCCAACATCAAATCTAAAAAAAAATTTTAAACTTTTTTACATTAGTTAAAAAAAAATCACGCAGTTTGACAAGATCCATACAAGGCAGTGGAGTATGTAAAAAGAAGCCATAAAACAACAGGAGTGAGTTATTTTTCCACAGGGAGCAAGGTATCGTAAAGTGTGAACACTGTGTTTTCAAGATGTTCCCCACAGTCAGTCAGCCAAAAAGATAAAGCCAAATGTATTGGTTATCATTGCTCTTAATTGCCTCATCAAAGCGCAACGGTGACACTCATTTTTCTTATATCCGAGGACATGGGCATGATGTAATTATATCACCCATCACATTCACTAACCTGTCGCTCTGTGAACCCTTTGAACAAGTTGGCATGTCTGTCAGCAACAACCTTTGCCAAGTTGAAGGTGTTGCCTCCCTCAGTATGCGTATAAAAAGCATTTTTTACGGCTGGACTGTCTTTGTCCTTGCCTTGACGGTCGGCTAAATAATGACATTTTTCACTCTGTGTGTCTGCTTTGCCAATCTGTGGACGGTCAGAGCACTTGTATTTGCAGTCATGCCTCTTGTTTTGTTGTTTTGTCACTGTGAAAGCTGCAGTATGCATATGACACTGTGTCTGCAGCGAGAGGAAGCAGGCCGCTGCACACACACACACCGCCGCAAATCAACACAACTCAGAGGAAAAACTGTTTCTTTTAAACCTGGTCTTTCTTTAAGTATCGATACTAATAAAATAAGGTCTAGTATTGTTTCTAACAGGACAGGATTGCCATACGTTTCCAGGATAAGTAAACAGAACAATGCTATGCAGGATAAAATATCATACAGAACACAAAAGTTTGTTTAAATAGTGCTTTCATAGAAGCATAAAGTAATACAGTGACTTACAAACATATGCAGTGCGCACACTTACAAAGTAGCCGTAAATATGATGTAAAGTGTCTACATTTGTGAGTGTATACTATATCAACTGAGTGTTTAGAGCTTACACAGTAAACACAATGCATCACTTTGGCAAAGAGCTGCTGAATAACAAATCTGTGAAGGTGATATGCAATTAAAGAAACATTAGCTCTCCTTCCTGTAGCTGCCTCACAATAAATTGTCAAAGAACAGACAATACATTGTGGCATTGAAGCTGAAGTGTGCTGTTGCTGCAGGTGGTATCTTTTAGAGGGGTTTAGTCAAGTGGAGTAGAAGTTGGAAGTGGAGGTTTAAACACACGGTTTGACATCTTTGGAGCAGTTTTCAGTTGCTGCTGTTGCCCTTTCGATGTAATTTTTAATAATCCACCTTATTCTGCTAAAAGTTTTCATTTGGCAAAAGGCAAAACAAGAAAGGTACTAAGTTGTTGATGGTTTTGAAAGGTTTTCCTAGTTGACTTATAATCATTTACACAAGCCTTTTGTCAGTTTTAATTATATTAATTTAATATGTATTTTTGGTGACTATGAGAAAACGCGAATTTTAAAATTATGCAAACATTGCTATCAATATACAATGTAACACTGAAAAATAAAATACTGCACCGATTAATGAGCCTTTGAAATATAAATATTACAAGTGCAGGAACCAAACAGGCTGCAGCACCAGCAAAAGCGCTAATTATTCTGAATGTATCGAAACTGACAAATTTCAGCTTACAAGCTCCATGTCCTCAATAAATTATCACAGAAACTGTTGGACACTACCTTTATACTATCATCAGTCTGTTGCTGGCCTGCTGTCCATAAAGACGCCCGGTCTAACGTTTGGTCGACTATTAAGGCACAGCCCTATAAATTTGTGATATTAGGCGACATAAATGAAACTGACTTCACAAAAAATGTTAACTATCATAAATATAAGTGTCAGTTATGATATTTGATCCACCTCTAACTGTAAGGGTCTGGTTATCCAAGCAAAACCACAACCACAAAACCACAACCACAACGTCGATAAAAGAGAAAATATTATCCCAATATTGTGCTCTGTGCTAAAGCCATTGTTTAGTGTTGGCTTGTTAACTGTCCAATAAGTGTGCCAAGCGATGAAAAAATAAAACTCACCATTACAGAGCTGGAAATAAGGCCAAATAATGCCACCATAGCACCATAATACCTAGCAGCTTCAGGAGATGTCACAAACCCCCAGATTATCGGGCATCACAGGTCTGCACCAAGAAGAAAAAAGCAAATGGTGTGTAAATATTCAGTGTGCCATCTTTATTATAGATTCACCTCTTAAAGATTACGTGCTCTGTAATGGTGTCTCGGGAGGCTATTAAACCTTCAAAGCTAATCAGGCGTTTAGAGACTCATTATAATCTTCTTAAAAGCAAATCAGCCGTATGATTTTAAAATGCTTCGTAGATATACAAGCTATTTTGTTGTGAGTGCTAAATACACCTGCAGTCATGATTAAAAAAAACACTGGAATACAATAAACCTGCAGTAATAATAACTACACATAAAACTGAAACAATAATACACAATGGGAATCATAAAAGCTACATTTTGTCATAGCCTGATTAACTGATACAAAACTAGATTGGACATTTACCTAAAATCCATATTAGTGGATGCAATACTACCGGACTGTCTTGTTTGTGTGCTCTGTTGTCTTTTTGTGAAAATTATAGGCCACAGCCAACACCCCTAAATCTGAAAGTTTAATACAGTGAATCACTAGGATTGTTCACTAATCTCTGAGGGATTTTCCATTGACAAACTTATGGAGGCAGAATTATTTATTATTAATGCAGTTGTCACATCTTTCTCTTTCAGAACTGTGCTCTCACTGTTGCATGTAGTAATTAGAGACAACTGAAGCGTGCATGAGAATAAAAACGAAGAAAGGCCTATTTTCTTTATGCTGTATATACTAAATGGGGATGTAAGCCAGCTGTTTTTGTATTATAGAGAGGTATATCTAAAAAAGGGGCCGCTAAACTTGTTTTGTTTAGCAGTTTAGAGCAGTGACGCATTATAAAGTCAAACAGCACCCAAAAAAAAAAGGTGTAATTTCCTGAGTAGGGCGTATAATGTCAGCTGCCTTAATGAAGTCTTTTATTATCTATCAGAGGTTTAGCCACACTGGGGAAACACAGTGACGGATCACCGGATGAAAATAGCTAGGGGATGGTAGTTTCCCAAAATAACCCTGTTAAGCTTTAAAGTCTTACTTCAGATTGTCTGATTGAGCTGCTTGTCCCTTTGCTTTATGCATCCTGTTAATCTTAATTCCAGCATGATGAAGCAAACTAGAGCATGCCTTATTAAAATCGCCAGCAGAAGAGAGGAAGAGACCTGGAACAGGGTGGGAAGTTATGTAAGATTAATCTTTTGTTTTCCAGTGAAATACATTTTGTGTCCCTGTTCTGAAGTGCAGAAACAACCATTTTGATGTTTTGCAATTGCAAATGGTTTCATCGTTCTCCAAGAGGAGAAATATTTTTTTCATGCAAAATGGAAGTTTAGTTTGCTTAAATTTACTTGCAAAAGAAATTATAACAAATAAAATGCACAACAAAAGGTATTGAGGGGGTTAGAAACTGCAAAGCAAAGTCTGTCATTGTGATGAACGCTCACTGTTAAATACCTACTTTCATCCTTGTTTTTGTATTCAAGTCTTCGAATAAACATCTCTAGGTGTTTCACAGGTAATAAAAGAAAAATGCTTAATACTGTCAGGGAGAATAAATTAAGCAAGTTTGGTTTTATATACACAAAAGAAGAAGAAAAAATCATCATGGAACAATGAAAGACATCTTGAAAAAGAATTAGGATAATTTAAAAAGTTAGTTGTAAGGAAAAGTAGTAACCCTAAATGATTTATCAGTCCTTTTAAACACACATGTTGCTCCACATCTTTAGACTGTGAGTGCAAACAAAAGACAAGAGAGCTCCTGTCCCAGCATGCATTGGACAAGATGCAGGGAAACCCACAACAGGTTGGTGGTGATTATAAGGCCTTCCATCAGATGTGAGAGACTTGCATTCTGGGAGGTAGTACAACATCAGGTGTAGCTAGAAAAGCCAATATGGGAGTGACAGTCCCTCCCACACTGGACACAGGGGAAGTCTGATGTGTTTGTCATTTTGGCTTTGTGAATTTCTCTTCTGTGTCTTTGCATTGGAGTTCTGGAAAAGTGTCTATTCAAACCTTGAAAAGTCTGTTTTCAATCTGACTGTTCTGCGACTACAGCTTCTCAGGCCTTCAGGTCTCTGTCTTACATATGTCTCTGTGGGCCCGTTGGGGTCTGCCTGTGGGACATTTCCCTGCACATGTGACCGAGCCAGTGCTCGCTCCACTTGGCTCTTTGTCCTGACAGATGGTGTTCTGGATGTGTTGAATCATGTGGACGGGGTTGAGCTTTCCTCCTTCTTGTTGGGTGAAGAATCCACTTTCTGTGCCATGATATGTGCTTTCAGATCATGATCTGCTGTTGGCCTTAAGCAGAGTGGGTAGCAAATGCTGCACCATCTGTAAAAAGGAAGTCCTGGAGGCATTTCTGCTGAACTTCAGGCATAAAGTTTTTCATCCAACCTGTATACTGTCTGTAGATACAATATATACCTTCTGGGGCTGCTGAGCCGTGATAATTTCGGTGATCCCCTAATGACATTTGAATCAGCCTCAGCTGTACTTTGTGCTAAATAATCAATTCTAACTTGCTAATCTAAGATGGTAAACATGTTCAACTGCTATGCATGCACATCAGGATTACGGTAGTAAAGCTGCATTGAGTGGCAACTGGGACCTCCAAATTTCCAGTATCTGACTTGGGGGAGAAAAGAAGAAAGAAAACGCTACCAGAAGTCAGATTTCCTACGGGGCAACTTCACAAATATCAGCCCTGACTTCCATATTTTTCTTCATTCCTCAAAAAAGCAGCCAATACAGTGTACAATACTTAAGTAAAGCTACTGTGTTAGAGATGTAAACCTTCTGTCTTATTGTTCAATATGTTTTTAATTGATTAAATTGTTAACAACAATTATTCAATTAATGGTTAGTCAATAACAGCCCTGCTCTGTATGTTTATCAATTTTCATGTCTACAAATCTAAAACTTTAAAAAAGGAACTTTTGCATCTTTTTCATTTTTCTGTGTCTTCAGTTATGTGACCTACATATCTGGTGATCAATGCTTACTGTTTGTAGAAAAGCAACAAAGCAAATCTGGAGGCAGCTGTGTTTTCTTTTTTTTTTTTTTTTTCTCCTTATTTTATGCACCAGATGCGTGGGAGGTCGTAAATAAGAAAATTTCAAGTTCCGGCCTTTAAGGTACATCAAATGCAGCTTAGGCATGTCAGCTTGTTGATGTTTGCATTTAATTCAAAGTGACTCCACACAGCAGATCTTTTTTTTTTTTTTTTTAATTAAATAATTCTGCTGTGTATTAGTGATTTACAATAAGCTGTCAAAATGTACATGTTCTACATACATGTAGCAGTGTGCTCCCTTTTCTGATGTATAGAAGACAGATACAGAACAGCTTTTTACTACTGAAACTATTGTAGACCAGTAAAAAAAAAAAAAAAAATGCGTCTTGTAATTACTTTTTGTAGGTCACTGTTATTTCTGCAAATACATTTGCTTTCTTTCACATCTTTGGTTCTCTTGGCCTTTCATATACTGCCTTAGTAGCAATTTACTTCAGTGAGTTGGTAAAGATTTTATACTTTACAAGAAGAACTGCAGTGTCAAGTCCGCACAAGGCTGATTCTGCCAGTTACAGCACATCCTAATCAGCACACACGGATCAATAATCTTGGATCGTATCATGTGTGCATTTCTCTCTCTACGTACCGACAACATAACAGAAAATAACAGAGTACGAGTTGTGGCTTGTAAAGAGCGAGACTGGGTGCATACAAGCCAAACTAAATCACGCATGCGTGAACCACGTTACACAATGATGAATGGGTGAGCACAAACAACCCGTGAGCATTTCAGTCTCTGTGAATTTAATGAAATTGAACTACGTGAAACTGAAATAAATAAACCTGATTTGCAGCATTAGTCTAATTTAATAGCCCCACCTCCTACATCAACTTCACACCCAGAGATTAACATCAGCACTTGCTCAAACTCATTCCCCTGTAGTAAAAAAATATTTTTAAGCTGTTTGTTATTTCAGACCAGTAATGTTCAGACCTTAATATTATTCATCCTCACAGCCAGAGTTTGAGTGGGGTCTGAGGTTATTGACACAGCAACCAAATAATCCTGCCTGAGAAATCATCAGGCTGAAGGGCAAGCACTGCCTTGCCTTCACATTCTATTATTTTTGGGAGCTTTTTTCAGAGATTTGCAGGAAATAAAATGCAGGAAAAGGAAATGTCCAAAGAAAACAGCAACAAAATCTAACGATTGAATCCCAAAGAGGGTTCACAGTTGTATAATCAGACTCATATGCAACATATTTTGTATGAGACTCTGCAGATTCTTTTTTGACTATAAAATATTGAGATGAAACAATTCATTAATTAGGGTATTAGTTGCTATGACAATGGTTAGAGGCAGTTTTAATACTGTTTAAATGTTTCTGTCTTTTTTTTTCTTCTTCTTTTTTTAAAGCCAAATGCCCAAAATTCACTATTTCAGACCTTTGAAATATGAGTACTTCTAGCCTGTAAATAAAATAAGTTTTAGGTCATCTGTGGCTCTGGGAACTTGAGTTGAGCATTTTCCACTATTTTCTAAAACATTATCTAATGAAAATAGTCATATCATGGTCTATGGTTTTACTTTGATGCACAACACAGTTCCCCAAAATGTAGCTCAACAAATGAGACATCTTTAGGATCTCCATTTGAATATAAAATAACTAGCTCTGGATCGGAACATCTGCTGTGTCATATGAATTTCCACTGAGTGGCCTGGTAGCAGGTCAGAGGTTTAAGAGACTGCGACTAGAATTAATATCCTGCCATTATACATTTGATAATAGCGTGTGCACTAATTCACCTTTCATAGCTCTTGTCCCTGCATAATTGTTTCCTGATACAAGTGATTTTGTGACCTGCAGAGTGGGTGGGTGTCTTGAGTCAGCAGAGCCAGTTTTTAGCTGCAGCTGTTCAGTTAACTTTAACTGCAGAAGAGCTATTGGAGCAGGATTCGGCACCGCGTCAGCCTGAACTAATGGCAGGGCCTTTTTATACTGTTGTGGATCTAATTTGACAGAACATTAGCTTGAAAGTGCTCACTGACGTACTCACATCTCCAAACTTTGAAGCAAATAATTATCTGGTTCGAGGGATTTTTGCAGATGTAGTGTCATGTCTTATATGGTCAGCAAATTTAAGTTGTTAATAGATTCTTTGGCATTTACATTGTGGCTTTAGCGTGAAAACCACACTGGATTATATGCATAGAGCAAATCTACAGCAAATCCTTTGCGCTGGAAAAAACGAATCAGTGTTCCTCCTCTGCCCTTATAGCTCCACATCGCAGCAGCAAATGGCTACGTGCAGGCTGCAGAGCTGCTGCTGGAGGGGGGAGCTCGCATGGACCTGAGAGATTCAGATGGATGGCAGCCTCTTCATGCTGCAGCATGCTGGGGTCAGGTAAGGTAAACACAACAGGAAATAGATGAATGCACTCGCATAAGTTTCTGAAACCATTAATGTAATTTGCTGCCACTGTTTTTGTTGCTGCTTCAGATGCATGTGGCAGAGCTGCTGGTGTCTCATGGAGCCAGTCTCAATGCCAAGACCTTCCTCGAGGAGACTCCCATTGGTATATTTATACCCTTTAATCAATATACCTGGTGGGGCATCAAGAAAAATCTCTCATCTCTGCAGGATCTCATTTGCAGCTTGTTCAGTCAATCCAAGTTTAACATCAAGGGTGATTTCCCGCTAAGTGCTGATTTAGATGTTCTTAAAAAGAAAGCTAAATCAGTTTATGCTGTTTTATAACTAAATCGGCTTTTACATTTTTAGCAGTATTGATGATTGGCACATTTCAAGGGAGGTTATAATCCACACCAGTATTACTGTAAGACTTGTAAGAGTGTAGAGAAGCAGTTTCATTGGGGGGTAAAAAAAAAAAAAAAAAAGCTGACATACTGTGCCTTTTTATCCATGTCCCTTTAAGATTTGTGTGAGGATGAGGAGTTCAGAGCCATCCTACTGGATCTGAAACACAAACACGACATTATCATGAAGTCACAGCTCAAACACAAAACCTCACTGTGTAGGCGAACATCCAGTGCAGGAAGTCGTGGGTAAGTGCTGACATCTGCTGGTGCTTTTACAGCTACTACAAAAAACACATTATTTTTAAATAAAGGGAAAAAAGGGTAGCTCAAAGCAGAAATATGACAAAAGATGTGTGCATTGTACTAATAGCTACAACTATATAATGGAAAACCTTCACTGACGGACTACAATGACTATTTAATACAGCTGTCAGTGTAGCGTGCAGATAGTATTGATGACACAATCTTGAAATGTCGAACTGTAACTGTTTAACTTCAAAAGGGCTTTATTTAAGTTTGGTGCTTTGTTATTATTCTAGTTGCTTTATCTTACTGATAACTGCACCTGTGTCCACAGAAAAGTGGTGCGGCGAGCTAGTCTGTCGGACAGACACAACTTATGTCGTAAAGAGTACGAGACAGAGGCCATCGTGTGGAGGGGAGGAAGGGAGGAGGAGGACGAGAAGGAAAAGGAGTCCGATCAGGAGAATAATCAAGTGGTTAATGTAAGATTTCTGATTATTGTGTTTTATTCTTGGGGCTTGTTTTATCAAAATCAGACACATAGTTGTATATTACAGTTCTAAGCTTCTGTTGTTTGGATTTGGTTGATATATTTTTCCATTCACTGTACCTACGCTATCAGATGACATGACTTTGAGATATTTTTAGTGCAGGTACAAGGTTGTTCAGCAACCGAAAGATACTAATTTGTCCTGCTCATCAGCAACCTACATACCAAATTTGGTGTAGGTGTGTCAGAGGTAAAAACAAGGACTTCTTCCAACACTCACGCAGAAGGAAACCCACAGGGGAAAAAATGTGAAATACAATCCTCCACTATCAGTCTATTGTTACTTTTATTTAACCTCAGCATACTTTCTGCAACAAGCTGAAGCATATTATCTACAGATTATCAAAAGGTTTTCAGAGCAATCTAAGAAAACATAATCTAAAATGACCTCATGCTGAAGAAGGTTGCAGAAAAACACACCAAAAAAAAAACTATTTCAGCTTTTTGTTACAAAATACCTCTTGGGATACAAACAGCAACAGTTTCTGAGGGCAGACTTTCTCTTTAATTAAGCAGATAAATTGGCTTTACATCTCATTTTACTTGAACTTGATAGTGGGAGCACCAGATCAAAGATATCTGATCTCCCCTGAACAGAGTCAGGCCTTCATGCATTTAATTATCTAAAAGTGAAGCCTTATAGAGGGATTAAAGTAATCCTTATTGATGTCCTGCAGGTCAAGCCAGTTGTAGCTGTAGAGCTGCCAGACAAGTCCAAGCTGCCCACCATCCTCAAAGACGGCAACAACAAACAGAACGGCCTCATCTCCACGACGACGTCCGTGCCACCACAGCCGCCCTCTAATGGCAACACGCCATCGTCCACTAAGGGCGGTGTCGTCACCACCCAGCCTGTCCCGGAGGAAGCCTGGCCAAGAGAGCGCGCTCAGACTCTGTCGGAGCTGAAGAAACAGAGGGCCGCCGCCAAATTGTTGAATCACCCCTTGTTCAATGGTCACCTTGGTAATGGCTCCACAGACTCCTTCACTGATGCCAAAAGCAACTTGGAGGACCCTCGAATGCCGCTGGTCTCCTCCAATGGCAATGCAGTTTACTACACGCCAGCCAGTGGCGACCCGCCCCTCCTCAAACTGAAACAGCCTCTAGAAGAAGAGCAGCCGAAGGCACGGACCTGCTGCTGCGTGTCATAGCACCGTGATCATGTGACTGGTGACAGAACAGGAAATTCTTGCACAGAGGGAAGCGTTCTATAGAAGGGAGGAGAGGAAGGAAATAGGGAGTATTACCGTCTTTTAACATCCTGTTCCTACCCGACTGTAAACTTCTTCCAGAGAAGATGGAAAACCTGAAGAAGGCTGAAAAACTTCTCCTTGTACCTCCATGTCACATGACTCCTGCTACACTTGGAGACGCCCTACCTAAATGCAGGCATGTTTAAAGTGTAGCAGAGAAAAGGAAAGGAACTGAGCAGTGCCACTTTGTTGCTACTTGGATAAAATCACTTATCATGAGTGGAGTCTCTTTTCAGGACACGACAAATGGATAAAAACAACAAGCTGTTTCAGAGGCCCTACTGTCCCTGTGCACCTTTTTTAAGAATCAATATGGGTAGTTTTTTGGAAGCTTTTCACCTGAGTGACAACAGGTGAAACATCAAAATCAGGAGAGTAGAGAAGATTGCAAGGTACTGCATGTTCATGGGGAAAAAAGCTTTTTTTCACCCTACAAATTGATCATTATTACTCCATTAAACAATATTTCCTCCAGGACAAACTCAAATTGTTGTCAAACCGCAACATTCTGCTGTTTCACCACCTTCTTGTCATTTTTTTTAAATCGGCAGGACGGCCATCCTGGAGCGGTCCAGATATATTGTATTACACCATGTAGTACTACATGTAGCAAAAAGAAATCTGTGACGACATTTTTGAAACGCTGCCTGCAAACGTAAAGGGAAGGAATGCCATAAAACAGTGTTAAAATATTCAAGAAGTGTACTTCTACAGTGAGAGGTAACAGGAAAGAGTAAAAAAAGTACTGCACGAGTGTTTGAAACTGTCACTATATTCTGTCAACTATACTTCACCTCACAGTCCTCTCATATCAAACCTAAACTGACAGGTCATGCTTTGTGTTTTTTGTATAATCCACTTTGTGCTCACTCGTATAGATGATTTAAGCAAACATGGTTGAAAATTACTGTACATTTCTTTATTTATAAAAATTTATGTAATGTAAAAAAAAAAAAAAAAAGAGTAATGGTTCCGAAAGTTGAGTGTATTTATTATTTGGATGGTGTGTGGAGAGTGTGAATGCAATATGATGTTGATGACTAGCTGGAAGAATCTTTCCAGCCAAGCACCTTCTGACGTAGAAAAATCGTTCAAATGATAGAGTGAAGTAAGGGTTACTGTCTGCTATATGTTCATGTGATTTTAAAATACAAACCATCCCATTGGGATGGATTCATATTTGTGTCACTACAAATAACAATGTTATTTGTTCATGTTGTTTTCTTCCCCCTGGTGGCCAATGTGGCTTCTCCCAGTCACTGTATTTGTTTTATTAACAGAAATTGTAAATGTGATGTAATGAATTACTGTAAGTGTAGTTTTCAGAAGATACACAAAAACGCAATGCCTCATTTAAAAAAAAAAAAAAAAAACCTCAGTCCTCACACGGATTTGGTATGTAGCGAGCCCATACAATTCTATAAGGTATCTTTGATTGGATCATGTGTTCAACAGGAAATATACACTTGTCAGTCTGAAAACAAGTAGTTTCTCTGCTGATGAAGAGAATAGTTTGACATTTTTGGAAATCCCTATTGACAGACTTGGATGAGAAAGTCGAAAATATGCATGTCCCTCATGTTTTTACTCTTTATGTTAAGCTAAGATAACCAGCTGTAGCTTTATATTGAACAACGATGAGCATGATTTATTGTCAAGCTTCTCATCCAACTCTTAACAAATAAATGAAAAATCGGATTTCCAAAAACATCGAACTATTCCTTCAGTCTAACAACAGCTTCTCTCATCTTGTGAGTGCCAAAGAGTCTTCCGTGAGTTAAAAAAAAAAAAAAAAAAGATTATATGGACATTTCAAAAGTTTGGAGGAAGACTTTCTTTGCCGTTACAGAGATTTGTTTGTGTCTGATGACCAACCCTTTTGACAATATGATTTCCCACGATGCCATTCTGTCACACTCGACCCCCACATCAACTGTACAGTGTCAAATATTTGTACAGATGAGTTTGTAAATATGTTTGTATTAGTATCCCTTTCTCTGTTCCCATGACTTGCATTTACATGTGTGTGTTGTTACTGTTGAGAAACATATAGGAAGATACAGTTACCCATACTGATGAACAGTGTAAGCAGACTTTTGGTTGCAAAGGGGGGAAACTGTGAGATGGCACAGACCCCCTGCAAAGTCCTGTACACCCAGGTGTCTTTCCTCCCTACTGTTCAGAAGCCAGTCTCTGTTCTTCATTCAAAACTGAACAATGAAATATTTCTATACAAAAAGGAAACAGTTCTCTTTTTTTTTTTTAGCTCAATTTGAGGAAGTACAAATTAAGTCGAAGTGTTTGCCATTTCCCAATTAGATTTTTTTCTCTACTTTGTAGGAACTAAGGCAGTGACATCATCTTATGAGACAGCTGAAATTTACATTCGAGCTGGTGCAAGCTATTTAAATTCAACTCTGTTTCCTTATTAATGAAGTTCAATCAAACTGAATTGTAACTTTGAACTAGAACCTGGTTAGCATAATTCAGAAAAGGAAGAGTCGCCTGTTTAAAAAGTAGCCTGTGTTGTCATGTTATACATAGATCAAGGCTCGCGTTTGACTGCAAGCCTCGTTGTCTATACAGATAAGATTATACAAACAGAAAACTACTGATTTTGTTATTACTGGAATATATTGATGGTTGCATTAACATATTTTGAATAAATTGTATATTTTGAGAATTTTAAATTGTCTCTTCTGAGTTAGTAAAACTCCTTTGTTGTCAGATATGCTGAATTTCAACTTTAACTCAGGTGCCTGCACCACATGGACATGAGTAGAAATGCAGGACGATTTTTTACTTTTCTGTTTAATCACTATACATATTTATATATTTTGAATTGTTGGATAAAAAAATACGATTTGCATTAGATGCTGGAAAACAGCATTTTTTAAACAATTTTTTTGTCATTTCATACTGATTACTTGCATGGTTAGAAAAACAAAATTATTATTATATCTACTGATGCTCATTTTTAAAAGCTCCATTATTTTCTTAAAAATACATTTAGTTAAATATGCCATTTTCCATTTACATTTCCATGCAATATCAAGGCCCTTACAGTTAATGTCACCCTGCGACGCCTGCTTTGTTTGCCTTATTTCTACAGCTCCTTTTTGTTCAGAGACTGAACCGTCCTTCATCACACAGCTGTCAGGGTCTTGGCCCAACGTCAGCTGCTTCCTTCAGTAATTTTTTTTGGTGTTTTCTGTTTCTCAACTTCCCCTCTTTCAGTGGCTGTGAGGTTAGCAGGGGTCAATATTTCTGCAGGCGACACATAGCATTTGTTTGTTGCTCAGTTACAAGAACAGTTGGGTTACAGAGACAACAAAAGAAGACAGTTTGGAGACAGCGCTGGTATATTTTATGTTTCTCAGCCTATTTTGAGCCATGACCACTTTCAGCCTTTGCTTAATAACAGTTTATGTAGAAGACAGCAGTCACTGGCTAGCCTAGCTGCTTATTCATCACTGTCTCTGTGGTTTTGCTGCTGGTTTTAAAGGACTGCCCTCTTGGCATGGATATAGATGTCTAGGTTGTCTTTTAGAGAACCTTATCAGTATTTACAGAACATTACACGCTCATAAAATAGGATCTATTGGCTAATATCAGTTTATGACTTTGAAAAACAAACAAGAACTACAAACAGGAGATAATTTGTCAAACATCTATGTCAGGTTTACAGTCCTTGATGTGTCTTGAGCAAATCTTAGGCGAAATCACCAATTCATCTGAAGCTCCCTCTGGCCACAGTCAGTATGTCTAAGGCATATAGACACAAAGGAGGACAATGGTGCTGAAAACACATGATCCAGACTGCATTAACCTCCTCTGTGTTGCCTGGCTTTGCTATTGTGCCTTAGCTATACTGAGTGCGGGCCAGCTGGCTCCAGTCCCAGTCCTTCAGTCCTCTTCACTGAAGGGCAAAGTGGATCGTTTCCAGAAAGAGCATACAGACACATACTGACCACTCAGCTGGTTGCATAAATGGAGGGATGCTGAAAGAAAGCACCAAGAAACCGTTGTGAATGTGGAGCGTAAATCAAGAAAATGAACCAATGCCAGGAGTTGATCGGACGCTGACCACGCGATCGAAGAAGAAACGTACGCATTGAAGGACAGGAGGCTTGCAGATAAAGGCCTGAAAGTGGGCCTGTGCTGGGAGGAGGCCACAGCTTTTGACCATCCTGCCAGTTTGTCAGAGGACTGATAGAAGAGCTGCACAAAGAGAATGGATGGCAGGATTGCTCAATAGGTCAGAATGTTTGCACGGTTCCCAGGATCTGTTGGACTTAACAGGGCCTCAGTCTCTTATTGGACCTGAATTTAAGATATCTAAGTAGGATGAGCTGATGTCTGTCTAGATGACAATAATAAAATGGGTATAGTGTCTGAAGGATTTGCACTTGGAAGAGAGATCAAAATCTCACTCAGAAAAAAACTGCAGCATTTCAGTGCGACAGCCACTGACGTTTATCTTGTGCTAAAAATATAATGGAAGTTGTTATGATAATATTAGTTACATTTGCCATTTTTAGACATGAGATTGGGCTGTATGTATTGCTTTGGTTAAAAAAAAAACAACAAAAAACAACAGTATATCTCAGCCACTACTGGATCAGTTGCTATGAAATTAAGTGCAGATATTCATGGTGCTCAGATGATGAATCCTACTGACTTTACTGATCCTGACTGGGACTTGAACTCTGGTATTAGCTTCTCTCCATTGGCTTCCTGTAAAATCAAGGATCCAATTTAAAATCCTGCTTCTAACAAAAGTCTTCATGATCAGGCTCCATAGTATCTTAAAGACCTTATTGTTCCATATTATCCTAACAGAGCCCTTCGCTCTCAGACTGCAGGTCTACTGGTGGTTCCCAGAGTTTCTAGAAGCAGAATGGGAGGCAGAGCCTTCAGTTATCAGGCACCTGTCTTATGGAATCAGCTCCCAGTTTGGGTTCGGGAGGCGGACACCCTCTCTACCTTTAAGATTAGGTTAAAAACGTTCCTGTTTGATAAAGCTCATAGTTAGGGCTGCTCGGAGTCATCTGAGCTGTCCCTTAGTGATGCTGCTATAGGTTTAGAATGCCGGGGGATTCCCATGATGCACAGGGCCTCTCTCCTCTCCTCTCCTCTCCTCTCCTCTCCTCTCCTCTTTATATATATACATATGTGTGTGTATGTATGTATATGTTTCTATAGTTGCCTATCACCATTACATATGACTAACTCTGTGACTCCCCCCGAGGTTCTCCTGCGCCTGCTCTCTCTGTGGATGTCTCTGGATCTGGAGCTCCTGAACTACAGCCGCTGGCCTCACCTTCTGTATCCTGCTGCCCCTACCATGATGCCTCCTGTTACAAAAGGACAATAACTTCTAATAACTTGTTTAACTGTAAACTACATTGTATAATTCATCCTACATTCACCCAACCGGTCGAGGCAGATGGCCGTCCCTCCCTGAGCCTGGTTCTGTTGGAGGTTTTTTTTCCCCTGCGGGGGTTTTTGGTTCCTTCCAACTGTTGCGGACTGCTTTCGGACTGCTGAAGCTTATAGGGAATCCAGATGTTTTGGATTGTTGGGTGTTTCTGTTTCTGCCTTTGTTAAGCTCTATGAGATGACTTGTTGTTGTAAATATGCGCTATACAAATAAAATTGAATTGAAAATTGAATTAATCATCATACTTGGAGTAAAGCACCAGAGTGTGAACATTTTGGCATGCTAACATTAGAATTTAGTTCAAAGTTCATGTTAACACATCATCAGTTCACCAAGTCAATGAACAATGAGTCACTGAGGTGAGACGAACCACTGCAGGGTCCCACCAGCTGCAGTCATGACACACACCACAGCCCCACAAGCCTCAATCAAGCTTTAAGTAAAGAAGGAAATGTTACAGTCCCCAGATCATTTCAAATGGCTTGTTTCAAAAAACCTGATTCACTGGTTTTCAGAACGTCATTAGAGCTGCAACACGTTTTCCTTCGACAGCAAATGCCCACCTATAAAGACACAATCACAAGGAAACTCTCATCTGCAGTTAAAACACTGACTGTGTACACTGAAAACTGATGAAACACAAAATCTAAATAATTTTAAATCATAGGAAGGATTACAGATGAACACAAATGATGTGTGTTTTCCAAAGCTTTACTTGGCATACTGAGGAAAGACTGCCAGACTGATTATGAAACCTATCAGGCGGGGTAGACTGACAGCATGCTGACTGCATTACACTATTCAGAGAGCATTAAAGTGGAACCTGGGAGTTATGAGTAAAAAACAGCTGATTTGTTGAGCAAGACACAGTCATAACTGATTCATTGTTAAACTAGACTCCCATGATATGGTATTTTTGAAAAAAGTGACCTTTGACCTCTAGTGGAGCTATTTTTGCACTGATTGACCCCAGAGGCTAAGCATTCTGAAGAGAGACCATTCTTAGCTCACTTGTAAAATATCAACTTGTTAGACCTTAGCTTTCGAGCAAGAGACTGTTCACAGACACACAGAAAGATGGACACACAAATGGTGACTGAAAAAAATGCAGAGCACATGTGCAATGTAAATGCAGTCTGATTCAACATTCGAAACTACAGTTTCAGTTATGACCATAGCACATACATTATTGATGCACTAAAGTACTTAACTAAAATAGAACATACACTTCACCAACAATGTTCCCTATATCAGTGGATGGTCCAAGATCTCCAAGAGTCAGTATGTTTTATATTTTAAATGCTGTTTTGTATTTGCACTCTACAACTTTAAAACATTGGATTGTGTTGAAAAAGTGAATGAACCACTCATTTCCTGAGCAAGAAACAACCAAATTAACATGCAGCTAAATGTAATTAAAAGGTCCCCTGCGTAAGATTTACAGAGATCTATGAGCAGAAATTGAATATTCTAGTTCTCATTAGTGTATAATGAAAATCATACTTGTGTTTCTGTTACTGTAGAATGAGTCCTTTACAGCTACCAAACATTAGCTCTAGAGAAGGCCTTTTGCATTTTCAGAAGCCACTATAGGCTAACCTACACCAGGGGTTTTCAAGCATATTACTCAGAGTCAGAGCTCCAGAATGATCATCAGTAGCAAATTGTTTGGTAACGATTTAGCTGGCAGATTTTGATGTTTTCCCCTTACTAATAAGAACATTCAATCAACTCACAAATTACTTTTTAAAAGTAACATACATGAAGTTCAAGACAGTCAAAATGCAATCAAGCATAGTGGTAGAAATGCCATCATTTGCCTGCAATCAGAAGTGTGACCCTGATTACACCACAAATATCACATCTCCTGTGATTGGGCAGGAACGAAACCGAGGCAGACACGACTCCGACAGTTGGTCCATATTTATTTCTGACGCAGATATATTTTAACATTTACACAGGCGATAAAAACAAGTATACAGAAGAAATCAAGACTCATCCTGTTTCTGCAGTGTAGGAGCCAATGGTGTAACTTTGATTCACAAACACATCAGCAGCAACACACAGTGCTCTCTTCAGCGGTTAGTCAGCATGACAAAAATGTCAATGATACGGGAAAAAAATGCACTTTAAAATTGCACTAATCTGTCATTAGGTTTGTTGTGAATATTCTTCAGTCATTATCAATGGAGAATTCATTTTAAAATAGATATGTTAATATTTATAATGTGAAGTGTGGGCTGGGTCTACTTGACTTGCCATTTGGTCAGTATATGGATCGAAGTCCAGACACTCAGAACATCTTACCAATATGCTTGGAAAGTCACGGTGAGGTTGAATTTTATAGTGATTTCTGCTTAACTATTTCTGATTAGCCTGAAATTTTTAATACCATAAAATATAGATATTTATAAAGATATCTGTGAAATTATAGATTGATATATTGAATACCCAGGCTTTTTTCACGTATTGAAGTTTGAGGTTGTGTTTGAATGAAAATATCTTAGGAACTATAACATAAGCTTAAAATTGGTTGGCCTATCATGGCTATATCGGTAACAGTCTATACGTTGTTTGATTTACCTAACAATGAAAACTTATTTTACAGAACATAATGCAGAAAGGGATGCTTGGGGTAATTACGAAACACACTGTTTCCAATACTCTTCGCACTGTCTGCAGCACATGTAGCAGAGTGCCTATCACAGCTGAGCAGACAGTGGTGCAGAGCCAAGCTTCATCACTTTTTTAAACACAGTACTGGAAGCTTTATAAACAATGACCCTATCATTTTCACTTTTTAGTGTAACTAACATCTTATTTAAAGAATATCAGGGAATCGGAATTTCTTACTCCGTAAAGCTCAGTATTGGCCCCAACAATCCAGGATTAGTTGGACTCTAGTAATCTCTTATACTAACTAGAGAGGGGAAACCCAAAGGCCAAGGCTAAATTCAAACTTAGAGTATGCAAAGCTGGTGCAACCAGTTTTAACAATTATACTAATCTTGACTTCTAAAAATCTGTAGCTTTTCAGTCTAATTTAGTCCAGTTTTACCCTACATGTCTAAATGTCTGGGTTAGGGTTAAAAATAAACAATCAACAAAAACTTTATATCAACCTAATGTTCATTGAGTGTAAAGTTATGAATTCAACCTAAAACATGAAATATTTGTGGGAAGCGTTACAGTCACTTTTTCCATTTCATTCTCTGCTCTACTGCAAGTGTGAGACTGCTCTGCCTTCAGCTCCTGTCTAACCAGTGTGAACCTCTTCTGCTATTTTCTCTGTGGGAAGCAGCAGAAAAAGTTCACAGAACAATACATGGTTTGTTCTCAGACATGTTGGTGTTAATTTATAACATCCAGCAATGTCCCCCGCTGGAAAATTGATGTTTCATTCTTACCTACTTAAAAGGGCCATCAAACCACGAATGTGACGAGGGGTTTAAAATGAACAGCAACATATTTTTAAATCAGCCCACGTGTTGATTTTGTGGCTTTGCTGTGAAAAGGTCAGGGGCTCCACAGCTGCACCGACTGTCACCCAATTTTCATGGCTTCCTGCCAACATCGTACCCTCTTTATCTCACCTCCTACTCACTCTCACTCTTTACTTTCAGCATTTTACAATGCTAGTGTGCACATGTGCATGTTTTTTCCTGTTTAAGAACAAAGTGCTAATTTGACAGGAGAGCATTAGCCTCTTTTACATCTGATGCAGCAGATCGTGTTTATCGCATGACTAAATATTGAACATAGACCTGTATCAGCATTCTCTGATTATTCTAAGACAATTTAGGGAAGTATGCTTCACTTTTTTTTTTTTTAAATGAAAGCAGTTGCAAAGTTGATATCTGATCTTGTGCTTTCCCACCACTTCCTTTTTAGGCTTGTGCTTTTGTTGAAATTTTAGTCTGTTTTTGCATGGAAATTCACATGAGAAACACAAAAGGTAGAACAGAGAAGAGGAAAGTCCAGAATAGAGAAAGGTCTGTGGCTTCCCCTGACGTCTCGCTCAAAATGTTGATGCAGCACATGCAACCTATAAAAACCAACATTTTCACAGTTGCATTTCCTGTCTTTATTCATTCTGTTGGCCGTGGTCTACAGCCATATCTCTCCCTTAAGTCTAATGTAATGCAATACAACTGATCTGTCATAACGTTTTATTACGCCTATGATATGCTTTGTTTTAGCATTGAAATTACAGCTAATGAAGCTGCTTTACTTGACTGGTTTGTACTAGTATTCTGGCTCCCTCATTCATGTGAAATAGTGAATGTGAATCACTGCACAATGTGATAAAATAAAAGCACCACCTCACACACTGGCAGGAACATTGGATGAACCAAAAATATAATCTAGGTTACCACCCGATGAGGCGCAGCTCGGATGGAAACCTCATCTATTGAGCTGGCAGGGCCATGGATAAGTTATCTCCAAACCTAAAGTGCACTTCTACAAGTGTTTTACAAAGTACTCTACAATGTGTTTCTCATTCACCCATAAATACACTCACAGCAAATTGACCACCATGCACCTGCCATTGGGTTCACTGACCGTCTGGCACATGAAGGGGCCAGAGATCAAACCATCACACTTGCAATTATTGAACAACATCACTTGAGCCCAAAAGCTACAGTTTTCTTTAGAGATCTACCTTATGCTGCTATCAATCTGTCTGTCATTGACCCATTTACAAAGAAGACATTTAACTACAGTTTCACCATTAGACTGTCAATTGAATTAATTGATTAATTAATTGAATTTCCCTTCTGGGATAAATAAAGTATTTTTCATTTCATTTCATTTCATTCAACACATTCATATAGTTCGTCTGTGTGCCTGTCGTTCAGGGTGCAAATGAAAATGTTGGATTCAACAACTCTTTTTAAAAAATATATGTATATATTTCTTTTTTGCCTTTATTTAGAGCCGTACAGATAGACAGGAGAGGGGGGAGAAGAATGGGGAGAGACCTGCAACAAAGGGTCGTGAGCGGGAGTTTAACACAATAAACCTGGGCATAAGAAATTACAGTACTGTTGCAACAATTAACATAGATCACAAAAACAGACTACTACAAAAGTACACAACGAGCAGCTGAGAAACTTGTTAATGCATTTATAACCTCTAGGCTGGACTATTGTAATTCTTTATTATCAGGATGTCCTAATAGTTCTCTTAAAAACCTTCAGCTTATACAGAATGCTGCAGCCACAGTTTTGACAGGAACCAATAAAAGAGATCATATTTCTCCAGTATTAGCTTCTCTCCATTGGCTTCCTGTAAAATCAAGGATCCAATTTAAAATCCTGCTTCTAACACATAAAAGTCTTAATGATCAAGCTCCATCATATCTTAAAGACCTTATCGTTCCACATCATCCTAACAGAGCCCTTCGCTCTCAGACTGAAGGTGGTTCCCAGAGTTTCTAGAAGCAGAATAGGAGGCAGAGCCTTCAGTTATCAGGC